CTTGTCTGATCACTCTGTACACCTTGAGAGAAGGGTGACGGTTTGTTCTTTGGAGCCTCTGAAGAGGAGAAGCTGAAACCAAACCCATTTTATACTCACTTGGACCTACAGGCTCACACCACAGAACTAAGGTGGTTCACCCATTCAAAACCACCAGCTGCTCCTTGGAAATCCTATGCAGGGTCACTATGAGTCAGAACCGACTCAATGGCACTCCACAACAACAACAACAGGACTCACACGTATGGCACTGTGATACAAGCAAAGTCTGTTTGAACCTCATATATGTGTAATTGTTGTTGTTATTAAGTGCCATTGAGTCAGTTCCAACTCATAGCAACCCGGTGTAGGGTTTCCAAAGAGCGGTGGGTGGGTTTGAACTGCCAACCTTTTGGTTACCAGTCCAGTGCTGATTGGTAATGCCACAAATTCTTCTATAATTGCTTTATGTTTCTGTAAAATTTTGACTCATCTCTTACTAGATTTAATTACTTTATAAGCAGTTTGTGGATGATCTTTATTGTTGTATTTGCTCTGTCATATTTTATGAACAATTATCACTGGTGTAGAAGAAGGCTAACAGAACCCTAGTGGAACAGGGTGTAAGCTCTTGGATGCTAATCAAAAGGTCACTTGGTCTCACCTTCCACTCTGTGGAACAAAGATGTGGCAGTTTGTCTCAGTAAAGATTACAGTCTTGGAAACCCTGGGGGAAAGAAATTGTACTCTGAGCCAGAACTGACTCTACAGAAAGAGGTTTTTGTTGTTTGTTAAATATGAATGATACTGATTTTTATGCTGATCTTAGTATTAAATTTTATGAACCTTTCTTCAGCTTCTGACACTTGAACCTTTCAGTGTAACTTTGTGTTTGCCCTTGAAGGGGTCAATGTCATTTTTCAAATTATCTATTTTAAAGATAACAGTACATATGAAAGGGTCAAAGTTTAGAAGCAATGTGACAGGGGAAGGTTCAAAAGGTATTTATTTATCACAGGTGTCTGCTACTACCTGCTCACTTGCAACAATGGTTTGGGCTAGATCCCCTTATGTTATTTCTTTTGCCTTGTTTTTTGCCCATGTAACAGCTTTATCGGTAAGTACATTTCTGCTCTTCTGGGTATTTAGAAATATTCATCTGGTATACATTATCCATTTTCTGTATATTTATTCCCTTTCAGATTAAACACTTTTCTAATGGAAATGGTAAGAACCAACTGAAATGTGAAGTTAATGTTTCTATCCATTCTCTTATTTGTTTAGCAAGTCTAGTAACAACTCTCCCCACCCTACTCCCTACTTTTAACAGTACATGATGCTGTATTTGCTGAACAGAAGGACATTTCAAAAATCAATTTAGGTGAGTCCAATTTTTGAATTATGCATAACTTGAAACAATTAAAAATCCGGTGCTAGAAAGACTAAAAAGTACTTGTCTTCATAATATTATTCTGGGTAACTTTGGGGGAGAAAGATTAATTGGTGCTTTATTAGGATTTGCTGAGTTCTGGAGAATGAAAGTGAAAGATGGCTAAACCAGGTCTTTGAGGAAATGTAGTGAGTACTGGATGCATCTAGAAATTCATACCAAGTGTCTGTTTATAAGAATTTCATTTTTCAGTTTCTGTTTTAAAAATAAAGAAAAATTAAAATAAGAAATTATTCTGCTTGCTAAAGAAAAAATATTAGGAATAAGTTGTTTAGTGCCATCAAATTGGTTCTGACTCTTAGTAGTTCTGTACAGGATTTCCGATGATGTAAATTTTTGGCGGAGCAGAAAGTCTTCCTTCTTCCACAGAATGGCTGGTGGGTTAGAACCACTGAACTTTCTGTTAACAGCCAAGTGCTTAACCACTACACCATCAGAAACTAGCATTTAGTGAGGAGAAAACGTCACCTCTCTTTTGGCCAGCCATAGGAGTCCTGGTGTGGCACTGTGGGTTAATGTGCTGGATTTCAAAGTCGGTTTGAACCGCAAGGTCAGTGGTTCAAGCTCACCAACCGCTCCTCAGAAACCCTATACAGGGTCACTATGGGTTGGAACCAATTCAGTGGCACTTAACAACAACGACAGTCCACAAACAACTATTTAGTTTTCAGGTCAGCAGTTCAAATGCACAAGCCCCTCCTCAGAAAATCTATACGGATCACTATGAGTTAGAACCTGCTTGACAGCTCCTAACAGCAACAGGAACAACATAATTATAGAAAGCTATTTCTACTTTGACATCCAGTCCACAAATACATTTCTTGGGGAAGTCCATAAGCCTCATCCATTATTGGGAAGAGCAGCTGAGTCAGCCTCACCTCTCTCCCTCTGTTGCTCTGCTGTTGAAATGAAAGAGAAGTCTCTACATTGTGGGCACATGTGGTTAGGATTCGTGGAAGTCGAGGTATTTGTGATTGTTAACAATTTAGGGGTTACAAATGTTTTTGTGTCTAGTTGGATTTTTATTTGTCAAGCGATGTAGCTTTCATTTTGTAGGAAGGGACAGGAGGCTCTTCGTGGTTAGGGTGACTGTCAGGATCACAGCTGGTAGAAATGAGGCTCACTTGCATGTCTTGTCACTTTCTCACTGTCAACTCCAACTCCTAGAAACCCCATGTGTGTCAGAGGAGACTTGTGCTCCTTGGGATGTTCAGTGGTTGATTTTGCAGAACTAGTTCACCATACCTGTCTTCCAAGGCACTCAGGTTAGCAGCTGAGTGCTTAATTGTTTGTACCACCCAGGGGCTCATTTTGAATGATTGCTCAACTTATCAACTATCTCTGTATCTGGCATTTCACATTTACAACAATAGTAAAACATCTACTGACTATTTTGCGCGTTCACAAACCATGTCTGACAGTAACAAATACTGAGGTATGAGGTGAGAATAATGTTGCCTATGATGATTAAGGTTATGTGTGAGCTTGGTTGGGCCAGAATTCTTAATGGTTTGGCAGTAATATCATGGTGTAATTTGGCATTTATGTAATGATGAAATCTGCCAGCTATGTAGTGATGTGGTCATCCTCCATTTTTTACATATTGGTAATTTTTGGTGTAAGGAGCTCTGGTAGCATAGTGGTTACAAATTGGGGACAAATCGGGGTGTGAGCCACAAGGTCAGCAGTTTGAAACTACCAGCTACTGTAAAGATTTACAGCCTCAGAAACCCTGTAGAGGGTCGCTATGAGTCGAAATCGACTTCACAGCACGTGACAACAGCAACAATTTTTGGTGTGGCGCTGTGGGCTAATGTGTTAGACTACAAAGTCATTTGAACTACGTGGTCGGTGGTTCAAGCTCACCAGCTACTCCTTGGAAACTCTATACAAGGGTCACTATGGGTCGGAACTGACTTGACAGACACAACAAGAACAATTTTTGTAGAACGACCCGGTCTTTGAAAGATAACCATGTCAATAAGTGAGTGAGTGTACAATTTAAATACGACAAAGCTGATAACAGCATACAAAAAGTGTTCAATTTTTGTGGCCTTGTCAGATCCATTCATATTTACTGTATTTTTTCACAAACAACGCATGTGTTACAAAGTTTTCACAAACCACACAATCCCCTTGTGGATTTATTTCCTATTCATGCTTTGTATGTGTAAATTATTTTCATGGGTGAATTGTATGCAAAAATATGGTAATTTGAAATGTATTGAGACTAACCATGAGGGCAAAGTAGAAATAGTTTAGGTAGGAAAACAGGCAGGCAGATGGGTACATGCATCCCAAGACTTCAGTGCTGAGCATCTGAATCTCTGGAGTCAGTGAGGATGGGTGAGATTCAGAAGACCTACTGTATTTTAATTAAAACTGTATTTTAAAAATAGGGTTGAGATTAGTTTTCATGTTGTTGTGTAACCTAATAATTATTTATTAAACATTAATCCTTGCATCCTTGAACGATTTCTTACTCTTCATCTCCATAATCACATCTGAACTATAATCCCAAAGGGGAAAAAAAAATCTTCATCATGTAGGTACATCCCATTTTTTAGGTTATTCAACACAAGCTATGAGGATTGATTGGTTTAATAATGCTGCCATCTTTTACCTCCTCCTCCTCGTTTGTTAGCTTCAGAATCTCAGAGTTTCCATCAGTACGTTCTTGTCCTTTTCTCACACCTTAGCAAATGCTATTAGAGATGCCTAGAGTCCTGATGTGGCACTGTGGATAAGCACTGGATAGCAAGGCCAGTTTGAACCACAAGGTTGATGGTTCAAACTCACTAGTCATTCCTCAGAAACTCTATTAGATATGCCTTCAGGTTTTAACACAAGTTTGTATCTTTATCTGCTTCCATCCTGGTACAAACCACCTCTTGGCTCACCTCATCCTTGCAATGACCTCATATCTGTTCTTCCTTATACCTTAGAGACTGTTCTAATTGTTGTTGCTAAATGTCGTGTACTTAACAGTTTCTGACTTGTAGTGACCCTGTATGAGATTTCCGAGGAGTAGCTCGTGGGTTTGCAGTCCAGTACTTATCCTACAGCACCATACCAGGACTCCCTAATTCGTGTTCAGGTTTTCTCTGTGTGGTCTTTTTGAGCAGATTTTGTTTTTAAGCATTTTTATTTGGGTTATTGGAGCTGCAGTTATTTAACATGCTTGACTGATAACTGTAAGATAAACAGGTGGAGTCTACCTACAGGTGCTTCAGAAGACAGGTCTGGCATTCGGCTTCTGAAAAGTTAGTCATTGAAAACCCTATAGGGTCATGATAAATTGGAATGGACTTGGAGGTTGTTGTTGTTAAGTTGGTAAGGGCCGTGGAGTCGGCTCTGACTCTTTGTGACCCTGTATAGGGTTTCCAAGGAGCCACTGGTGGGTTTGAACTGCTAACCTTGATGGTTCACAGTCCATTGCTGATCCACCAGAAGTCCATGACTTGAAGGCAACTGTGTATTTTTTGAGGCTTGATACTTAAAGTGTGGTCCACAGGCCAACAGCACTGGCATCATGTGAAACTTATCTTAGTTGCAGCTTTGGGGCTTCTGCATCAGCACCCCCATTTTGACAGAGCACCAGGTGATTCCTATGCACATTAAGTTAGGTGATTTTATTCCTATCTCTTTGATTATGAGTCTGGCTGCTAACCTCAAAGTCAACAGTTTGAAACTACCAGCTGTTCCATTGGAGAAAGATGAGGCTTTCTGCTCTCATAAAGATTTACAGCCTTGGAAATCCTGTACAGGGTCACTATGGGTTGGAACCGACTCCACAGCACATAACCACCACCACCTCTCTGATTGCATTTCGTAATTTATTCTTCCCTGTATACACACGCTTTCCTGTCACCCTGACAGCAAAACTATTTTCATGCAAAAGTGGTTCACAAAGTTTGGTCCCCAACCCACAGCATCAGCACTTTGAGAGTACTTGTTAGAAAAGAAAATTCTGATGTCCCACCCAAACCTACTGAACTCAAAACCTAGGGGTGGGGCCCAGCAGTCTGCATTTGAAAAAGGCCTCTGGTTGTTGTTAAGTGCTGTCCAGTCTGGCCTGACTTATTGTTGTTGTTGTTGTTAAGTGCCATCGAGTCTATTCTGAACCGTAGTGACCCTGTATAGGGTTTCCAAGGAGTGACTGGTGAGCTTGAACCACTCACCTTGCGATTCAAATGACTTTGCAGTCCAGCACATTAACCCACAGCACCATACCAGGACTCCGGTCTGACTCATAGTCATCCTATAAAAGCTTTCCAAGGAGCGGCTGGTAAGTTTGAACTTCTGACTTTGCAGTTCACACTGACCTTGTGGTCTAATGCATCATCCTGCAGCACCACACCAGGACTCCAAAAAGGTCTCTGTGGTTGTTGTTAAGTGCTGTGGAGTCAATTCCAACTCATAGAGATCCTGTATAGGGTTTCCAAGGAACAACTGGTTGATTGGAACCACCAACCTTGTGGTTCGAAGTCCATTGCTTGTCCTATAGCATCACACCAGGGCATGCTAATGGTAACATTTGAGAAGCACTGTTCTAAAATGAAGGAGTCTAGAGGCTTGGTGGTACAAGTAATTTGCGATAGGTGGCTAACTCAGAGCTGGTTAAAAAACACTCGGTGACTCAGCTGAAGAATACAGTCAAGAAAACCCTATGATCTGGGCCTAGGGCTTCAGGATTACAGTCTTAGGGGGCACCATGGCCATTTGTCTTAACACAGTCCACAAACACAATGGTCTACATCAGACTTTGGGATCTTAAAAGCTCATGAGTGACCATCTAAAGCACAACTATTGGTCTTTCCTTGTGTGGAGGAAAGAAGAGTGATGAAAACTAAGATGCTTGGAATCAATTAGTCCAATGGGCTAATGGACACATGAGTGTTAGCCTCCGTGATCCTGAAACCAGAAGAACTGGATGGTGCCTAGCTACCACTAACAGCTGCTCTGAAAGGGATCACATTAGATGGTCCTGGATAAGGTGGGAGAAAATGTGGAATAAAACTCATAATAATCTAGAAAACTAATAATAAAACAGGTTTACTGATTAAATAGAGATTTGTGGAATCCTGCGACTATCATCCTTGGTCATCCTTCAGGTCTGGAACTGAAGTCATTCCCAATGCTCAATTTTCAACCAAGCTATAGATAGGTATATCACACTAGTGAGGTACACACAACAGAAAATGATGAACCATTCGAGATCAAAAGGACAGCATTTACCTCAAGACAAAACTCAGAAAGGTAGGGAAAGAAGGAGGAACAGAAGCAAGAACCACAGGGAGGAAGTGGGATAAGCAATGTTACATGGAGGGAATTGTGTTTGAGATGAAATGATTTATTGATTGTAAAACTGATGATCTGCACTGTCAACCTTCACTCAGTTCACAATAAAATGTTTAAAAATAAAGAGAGAGAGAGAGAGAGAGAGAGAGAGAAGAAAATCGTATGAGGCAATTCTGGTCTACAACACATGAGCCGCCATGAGTTGGCAGCTGACTTGAAGACGATTAACAACAACAAGCTCAAAGATGTTAAAGCTTCTTGTATCAGAAGTTTTCTATTTGTTGTCTCTTCTGCCTCCAAAATTTTTCTTTTACCCCTTTACTCCCATCACATTTCTGCTTAATGGCAAACATTTCTCTGATTTTCCTTTATAACAACGAAGAGGTTTCAAAAAAGTTGGTAGAAAAAATGGAATTAAAAGACTATGGTATTTTCCCACTAACTTTTTTAGGTCCCCTTATCACAACCCTTCCTTATCGGAGTACTGTATCTCTGCCTTTACCTTGCTCAGTGTTTTCATGTCACCCTCTGACATGCTTTGCATTTGTTTGTTCACCTTTCCACTCCCACTTCCCAATCAAGAATGTCATCTCCTGAAAGTCTTTGGTTTACTGCTATGTCCCAAGCATCTAGAACAAGGTCTAGGACAAATACAACCCCAAACCAAAGCAGTTACTGTGGAGTGGTTCTGACCCAAGGTGACACATTAGACACATAGTAAGTATTGGCTAAATAAATTGGTAGTGAATTAATTAGGGCTTGGACATTTCATTGGATATACGTTACTTTGGGTACACCCTCCTCCTGCTGTATCCAACCCTCTCCTGACTCTATCCATGCTACCAACTATTGGGGCCAAGGTCTGAGTGGGCTTGTTTACATCACTGTGTGAGACCTCCTTTACAAGTAATTCAGGTCAGGTGTCAGAAAAATGCATACACTTGCTCATGGGAAGCTGAGGTGAGCTTGTGGATGGGCCAACATCAGCTATTCCTATTGGACAGACAGCTGAAAACCCAGGGCTGGCTGACACTGGTGCAGTGATGTAGTGGGTGTTTTGCTGAGCTTGTCATTGTTTAATTGCACCATTACCATATAAATCCATTAGAGTTATAAAGTCAAGTAAAACCTGTGTGTAAGGAAAGACAGATGTGGAGACAAACTTCGTCAATAGCAGTGACACTTGATGGTCTTACCTAATACTTCCTTGGTGCCATTGTAGAGACCTAACCCTGCTGCAGAATGAACCACTGTTGTTAGGCCGTTTTCAACTCATGGCAACTCCATGTGACTGGGTAGAATTGCCCAATAGGGCTTTCTTGGCTATAATCTTTATGGAAGCAGATTACCAGGTGTTTCCCCTGTGGAGCCTCTAGTGTGGACCCATTTGTGGCCACTGGTAGTGTAGTGGTTACGAATAGGGCTGCGAACCTCAAAGTCAGCAGTTCGAAACTACCAGCTTTTCCATGGGAGAAAGATGAGGCGTTCTGCTCCTGTAAAGATTTATAGCCTCGGAAACCCTGTACAGGGTCGCTATGAGTCGGAATCGACTCCATGGCACACAGCCACCACCACAGGGCTTCTTGAATAAACCATCCTCACTCATTGCCATTGAGTGGGTTCCAACTATAGTGACCCTATGTAGGGTTTCTAAGGCTGTACATCTTGACAGGAGCAGAAAACCTCTTCTTTCTCCACAGAGCAGCTGGAAGATTCAAACTGATGACATTGTGCTTAGCACCTCAACGCGTAACCCACAAGAGATCTTGTTAAGTGTTGTCAATTCAGTTCCAACTCATAGCAACTCAACTCATAGTATATAGGAGTGGCTGATGGGTTTGAACCAACAGATTTGAGGTTAGCAGTCCTGTATTTATCCTATAGGGCCACACTAGGACTCTCAGGGTTCCTAGACTTTATCAAATAGGGTCTTTGTCACCACATGAACCTCTGGTGGTCATTCTCTGGCTTGGTTTCTCCACCTATAAATCGGGGGCTGTCCTCACAATGAGGTATATGTAATCCAATGATCCTGTTTGAAGTTGTTTTGAGTTTTACTGTGTAGCAGCTGGTCACCTGATATGATAGCAAGTGACATTCTTTCAAATGCTCAGGAAGTTTTCTGTCAAGGATCTTTAAGGACCATTATTTCTAGAAACAGTGTGAGGCTAGGATTGATCTTCTGCTAAACTCCAGGAACTGTTTGGAACTGCAATTTTGAATGGTTCTGTCCACATGCTCCAGAACTTGCTTACTCAAAGCACTTTGATCTTGGCTTTGTTTTTCATGGGACAGACCTAAACCAACCCATTTACATAGGGATGAGAGGTAGGTTGGCACAGGGTCCTGACGGGAAGTCAGGACTTCTAATGCTGACTGGACAGCTAACTACTCAGTATATCACTTACTGGTTTTGGACTCCTTCTCCCCCCGCTACCCACCCCCCCCGAAGTATGAGACATTTGGCGTTAGTGATCAGTAAGATCTCTCCTTGTATCTCATATCTCACTTCTAAGACACTTAGATAGGTTTCTTGTTCCCCAAATGAGAACAATGTATGCAACAATTATATATATTGTTGGGATATTTAGATTCACTAAGGGAAATTTTTGCATTGTTTTAAAAAGTTTCATATAAAATTAATAGTTATGAAAAAGATTAATTTTATTAGGCGAAGTATCTTTTCTAATGCTCATTCAAATGTTCTTATAAAATCCACATCCAGATGCAGGCTTGGATCTCTTTCAAGGGGACATCCTCCTGAGGGTGAGTACCTGCCAATGACGGATGGGATAAAGTTCCTCAGAGATTGATTACACCATTGGAGAGTCAGCCTGTACTCTAAGCTCACCCCAGGGATGTGCACTGTGGAGTAGAAGAAAGAATTCTAATTTATAATCTATCTATCAGGACTTCCAAGGAGTTCTGGTAGCGTAGTGGTTACGAATCAGGCTGTGAACCACAAGGTCAGCAGTTCGAAACTACCAGCTGTTCCGCGGGAGAAAGATGAGGCTTTCTGCTCCCATAAAGATTTACAGCCTCGGAAACCCTGTACAGGGTCGCTATGGGTCGGAACCGACTCCACGGCACACCACCACCACCACCAGGACTTCCAATTTAGTTGATGATAATAATAGATGAAAATTTGTATAAAGCACAAGAGACTGTAATTATTAAATTGCTAGTATACCCCATTTCCCTAATAAGTGAAGAATGAGAGAGAAGGAAAGTATATATATGTTCAGAGAAGTTATCTTAGTTTTGGGGAACTGCGGGTGTCATTCATTTTCTTCTTAGTAATTCCTCTGACTTTTCCAAATTGTCTGTAATGAACTTTTATTGATTTTTATAGTAAAAAGACAATAGTTTAGCCTCTTGTGGAATGCTCTTGTTAAGTGCTGTTGAGTTGATTCTGACTCATAATGACCCTATATAGGTTTTCTGAGAAGCAGCTGGTGGGTTTGAACTGCCAGCCTTGTGGTTTGCAGTCTAGTGCTGATCCCACAGTGTCACACCAGGTAGTGGTACAAGAGTTTAGTAAGTGGGAGGGACAGGAAGAATTTGGGAATCACCTTGAAGATAAAGCTTCCCAGTCACTTTGTCTTTGTTTTCACAGAACTCCAGAAATGGCCTGAGGGACCCAACAACTAGGTGGAAGTTCCCCATTCCTTACATTCTGGCTGATAATTTGGGTAATATAATCATTCTTAATTAGAAGCTTCTGCTTTACCTTGTCTCTCTTCCTGCTACTCCTGTTCTTTAAGATTGAGAGTAGCCCTCAGTGAGTAAAAATGTTCCCTTATCACCTGGCACCAAAGGCATAGCATTATGTAATGAAACCAGTACTATTTAAACTTTCTGAGACACCCCAAAACAAAACCAAACCCATTGCCAATGAGTTGATTCCAACTCGTATGTATTCCATCTTAGAGGGCAGAGTCGAACTATCCCTTAGTGAATGTTGGTGGTGGTGTTAGAAGCCAGCAAATCAGTTCCGACTCAGAAACCCTATGTAAACAGAATGAAACACTGCCTGCTCCCATTGAACATCTGGTGGATTTGAACCACCAACCCTGCAATTAGCAAGCAGCCTAATGCTTAACTCATTATATCACCAGGGCTACTTCTGAGATACAGAGCATTAAATAATAATTTTTCAAATGCAGAACATATGAAATGTCAGCAATATAAAGAACTAAACCACTAAAATGTAATTACGCATCATCAAACAAACCAAAACCAAATTCAGTGTCATCCAGTTGATTATGGTTCATAATGACCCGACAGGTCAGAGTAAAATAGTTCCTTTGGGTTTTGAGATTGTAAATCTGTACAGGAGCCGACAGCTTCATCTTTCTCTTACAGAACAACCAGGAGGTGTTAGTTTTTTCTTACTTCAGTCCAGCACTGAATTACTGTGACACCAGGGCTTGCTCCTTAATTAGAAATCATGGCAGTGAGAAATTTTCATGATAAACAATAGTTTAGGTGACACTATGTTTGGTGCGAGGTTTATCTGAGGCAGGAAGATAGCGTTTTCATCATATTGCTTTCTTTTCTTTTTTTTTTCTTACAAAATAAACATCCCACATTTTTAAGAAGTGAAAATGCTCATATTTATTTCACATGTTCATATTTATTAGTAAAACGTGTTATCAAAGGATTAAAATTGAATAAGACATTTTACACATTGTTGTTAGACATAAATACTATCACTTGTCTGTCAGTTTGTCTACTGTGGTGTCTTGCATGTTGCTGTGATTCTGGAAGCTATGCCAAGGGTATTTTAAATACCAGTAGGGTCGCCCATGGTATACAGGTTTCAGTTGAGCCTCCAGGTGAAGACAGACTAGGAAGAAGAAGAGACAGACTACTTCTGAACATTTAGTCACTGAAAATCTTATGATTAGCAGTGGAACACTGTCAGCACCAGAATATTGAATACTGAAACACGATGAAGAGCACCAGAATATTGTCAGAGTACCGGAAGATGAGTCACTTAGGTTGGAAGGCACTCAAAATATGACTGGAGAAGATGTGCCTCCTCAAAGTGGAGTTAGCTGTGATGACAGGAATGGAGTTAAGCCATCAGGACCTTCATTTGCAGATGGCTCACAACTCAAAATGAAGAGAAACAGCTGTAACCATCCACTAATAATTGGAACATGGAATGTCGTAAGTATGAATGTAGGAAACTTGGGAAATATAAAAATGAAATGGAACTCATAAACATCGATATCCTAAGCATTAGTGAGCTGAAATGAACTGGTATTGGCCATTTTGCGTCAGACAATCACATGGTAGAGGAATGGTGTCACATTCATCATCAAAAAGAACATATCAAGATCTGTCCTGAAGTACAGTCCTGTCTGTGATAGGATAATATCCATACGCCTATAAGGAAGACCAGTTAACACCACTATTATTTAAATTTACACACCAGCCATGAAAGACAGAAGTGATGAAATTAAATAATCATACCAACTCCTTCATATCTTAAATTAATCAAACATGCAATCAAGATGTGTTGATAATTACTGGTGATTGTAATGCAAAAGTTGGAAACAAACAGGAAGGATAAGTAGTTAGAAAATATGACCTTGGTGATAGAAACAATGCTGGCAATCGCATGAGAGATTTTTGCAAGACTGATTTCTTCACTGCAAAATGCCTTTTTAAAATACCATAAAAAGGCTACTATACACATGGACCTCACCAGATGAATACACAGAAATAAAATTGACTATATCTGTGGAAAAAGATGGTGAAAAAGCTCCATATAATCAGCCAAAACCAGGTCAGGGCCAGATTGTGGAACAGACCATCAATTGCTCCTATGCAAGTTCAGGCTGAAGCTGAAGAAAATTAAAACTAGTCCGCAGAGCCAAAACATGGCCTTCAGCACATCCCACCTGAATTTAGAGATCATCTGAAGAAAGGTTTGATGGATTAGATTCTAACGACTGAAGACCAGAAGAGTTGTGAGATGACATCAAGAACATCATACGGGAAGAAAGCTAAAAGGTCATTAAGAAGACAAGGAAAAAGGAAAAGACAAAAATGGATGTCAGAAGAGACTCTGAAACTTGCTCTCCATCATAGATATGCTGAATCAAATGGAAGAAATGAGGAGGTAACAGAGAATTTCAAAGGTCAGCTTGAGAAGACAAAGTCCAATATTATAACAAAATTTGCAAAGACCTGGAGTTAGGAAACCAAAATGGAAGAGCATGCTCAGCATTTCTCAAGCTGAGGGAACTTAAGAAAAAATTCAAGCCTTGGGTTACAATATTGAAGGATTCTATGGAGTCCTGGTATGGTGCTGTGGGTTAATGTGCTGGGCTGAAAGATTGGTTTGAATCATAAGGTCGGTAGTTCAAGCCCACCAGCCATTTCTTGGAAATTCTATATAGGGTTGCTATGAGTTGGAACTGACT